TTTTCTGTGACCTTTCTAGTGGCATGCCAGTGGGCAAAGGTCCGTGAAGTAGAAGTGCTCCTCTTCACTGTTCTTCAGTTTACAGAGCAGGGATTGATCAGCATTTTTCAGAAAGGACGAAACTACTCATGGAGAAAATAGCCCCCTGTGAGCCAAGCAATGGAGACTGACATATTGTCCCTGTGCACACTTGGAAAGACAAAACACACAAAGTCTGCAATGTAGACAGATGAGATTAATTATATTACATTTTAAAAAATGCATGTAAGGACCTTACCTTTGACTGGACTAGCAGAGATGATAACTTTATCTAGGATGGTCTTGGAAGGGACAAATTGGTGGTACTATGTCTGAGGATGCAGTGGACCCAGTCTGATCTGCAACTACTTCTCCTTTCAAATCACAGGTTTACCCTGGCAAGCCATTCTATATATGTGAATATATAGTATGGACACCGTCCATTGATGACTCTCAGCCATACACTGCCAAACAAGATGCAAATACAATCCCTTCCTAAATAAACTCATGTACCTCTAGCTGCTTATGACTCAAAGAAAAGTCAAAATAGTCCGAAGTTGATGCCAAAGCCATTTCAAACAAGCCATCACCATCTTTGTTTTCCTCCCTCAGCCGCAGTAACATCCTGCTTATCAACTAGGGCTGTAGCGAAGCCTCGACGAAGTCGACGGCTCGATTCTAAAAATTTGTCGACGTCAGATCCGGAAGTCGACGCACCGCGCCCACTTGTTGCATCCCCAGGAGTTTGTAAATAGAGGAGGAATCTGCCCATTTTTCCTCTAGTTCGCCCTCTTCTCCGCCTTCACTAACATCTCCGCCAAATACCGAAGACCCGGAACAATGTCCGTCCACTACTAGATTCCTTTCCTGTTTTGCCCGCCTTCGTCTCCCGGCAACGGACAACAACTTCCGGGGTCAGATGCGCTGCTTCGTGTCTATCGCAGATGTAGAAAATCACCGGGAGCGTTTCTCCCTTCATAAAGGAGCTTCTTTCAGACATGAGGAGAGCTGTTTTGGTGGTAGCAGTCTCTCCTCCGTGCTGGTCTGTTTGCTGCTGGGTGTTTTTGGTTTATTTAAACTTGGTAACTTGAACTTAACGTTGGTAAAGCTACTGTTAGCATCTTCGCTAACAGCTTCTTGCGTTGGGATAAGCTGTTACGTTTTGGTTTAGAGTTCATCTTTTTTGTGGTGTAGATCTCCCTTTTATTACATTTAGAGTGTTGTGGGTTTTCGGTTTAGTGTAAAATATCACCTGAGTTTGGTTTAACCCGTAACACCACTCGCCTCATGCACATAAGTGACCAAAACAAAGCAGCATGGAGACACTTCATCTTCTACCACCTCTCAGGCAGCAGCCTGCACTCCCAAGTTCTACACGTCATCAGAACATAACCAACCGCAACACAATAAAAGCAGTGTTATACAAAATGGAAGGCCTGTAGTGTTTATTCTCTTACAGTAAGAATTTATCAATTTTTTTGAGGAATTTATTTGAGATTTTCTGGTTTTTGTTAATTGTGCAATAGAAAAATAATCATTAGATTAGTTTTCTAAATAGTCATTAGAATAGTCGACTATTCGATAAAATAATCGTCAGAATAATCGTTTTAAAAATAATCGTTTACCCCCAGCCCTATTATCAACAGAGTGTTATGATTGGCCCACCAAAACAATAGAGCACTGTGACTGGGCTGCTGCGAATGTCAGTGAACGGGGCATCGTCAAAGAGGACTCAAACCAAACCAAAAGAGCGCTGTAATTGGACAACTACAGAGCAGTCACCAACTTAGTTTAGCTCAGTTTCATCAACATCCTGCCCACCTGACTGATAGAGCGCTGTGATTGGCCCACCAAACCAATAGAGCACTGTGACTGGACCGCTACAGATTTCAGTGAATGGGGCAGTGAGCAGTACATCATCAAAGATGATGCAAACCAAACTAATAGTGCTGTGATTGGCCCACAAACTGATAGAACGCTGTGATTGGACAGCTACAGAGTTGTCGTCATCTTAGTTTTTCTCTGTTGCACTAATGCCCCAAACACCAAACCAATAGAACGCTGTGATTGGACCACTACGGATGTCAGGGCAGTGAGCCATACATCGTTGAAGACTCAAAAACAAACCGATGTATGGCCGTGTTTTGCCTGGCACCAGATGGCCGGGACTGCTGAGGTTCCAATGGAGCATGCCTAGACCATCTTTTTGTGAGTCTGATGGTCTAGATTCTAGGCTAACAGGATACCATCAGAGGTCTGATTTTTCCAGTCCCTGCTTTAGCAGTCAGTTGTTTGGAAGCATCCTTGGCAGCAGTTGCTGTGAATATCTACACAGAAAAATGGATAGAGGCTATTAAACTAAACTGGTTCAGCATGAGCCAACAAAAATGTGCTCATGAAACACCTGTGGCTCTAAGATCTTATGGTACATAAAGCACTAATTTGGTCTGCTATTATAATCTAGTACTACTTATTTTTCTACAGGGCTGTTATATGATCCTGAGCAAGTAAAGGCCCTGACAGGAGCTCCTCACTTTACAGTTTATTTTTATGTCACTTTTGTTCACATTTGTGCTTAAACACAAATTTAAATAAGCTAGCAACACATTAAGCTCATTATGCTAAATGCAGTTACTTTTTTTCTGCAAAATATGAAATGATCCTTCAAAAGGTGGCATTTGCCAAGTGCTTGCATAAATAGAAGACACCATTCATGAGTGACAAACTGCAGGGAAAATCTGCGTACATTCACCCACACAAACAGGTGGTTTGGAAGCAGGAGTTGCGTGATTAATCAGTTTTTGCTGATGATATCCATAGTAATGAACTGCACTAAGCCTCTGCAGATGGGTACTGCAAAACTGATAACAGATAATAAAAACGTGTACAGATTTATTTCCTGTCTGATTGTCTCACGTGCTTTTTTTTTACCTTGTTCACAGTCCAATATCTTTGTTGCTGCCTTTTGTGTGAGCATTAATTTTGTTTTTTTTAATTGTACACAAGTCCATAGTTTTAAAAATGATCAGAACTCCGTCAGAATGATACAAGAGAATACCAAGCTGTCTATTTTTAAGTCACAAATCCAACATGTTTGAAATATTTTCTATTTCTTCCCAAGTGACTATGTCCATTCCACTAAAAGAACAAAGGAAGAGAGGCTTTTATGCTGAGTCATTTGAATGTGATGGTTTTGAACTTTTGCTGATCATTTTTGGGTTTAGTTTTCACAAAGAGCAGTGCCATTATTTTAAGGTACACTTTTTATACCTCCAATGTTGCGCTGTGAGTTTTTTAAATACCAAAACCATTTTATAACAAGCTAAGTCTGGTTAAAATATCCAATAGTTGATACCAGCTTTCCCTCCTGATTACATTGCTTTGCATTATCTAGTTCTTGTCCACAAGGAGCAACATCTTTCCCCGAACAAATATATATATTTTTTATTTATGGTTTCCAAAATGTTTTTGTAAACACATATCCTGTCTTCTTATTGAGATTTACTGCCAGCAAAACTCCAAAACCCAGGAACAAGGTACAGAGCATGTGTGCAAAGCTTATGCTGAGTAAACACAAGAAGAGGATCAAAAAGTCAGATACAAGACTGAGTTTTGTCTGCACAGTAAATAAAGGTTTAGTAATATCTGCCCCCATTATAATACAATTTGACATGTTTTGAGTCATAGGTTTGGTCATTTGTGGTTCTATGACATCATAGCATAACAAATGTGTTATTAGCTAAAGATTGAAACTTTGAAAAGCGTTTCCAAAAACACCATTAATCTCATGTTGATGACAAGCTAAAAAAATATGTAAATTATTCCCAAAACACCATTCCATTGGATGCAATCTATAACTGCAACATTGTCCTCACGGGGGCTGGTGCCCATCACCAGCAGCCTCCGGGCGAACAGGCCAGTTACACCCTGGACCATCCCACGGGAACATATACACACACACACACTCACACCTAAGGTCAAATTAGAGAGACCAGTCAACCTGACAGTAGTGTTTTTGGGCAGTGAGGGGAAGCCGGAGTACCCAGAGAGAACCTGTGCATTCACAGGAAGAACATGCAAACTCCATGCAGAAGGACCCTGGGCCAGAATGCAAACCCAAGACTTCCTTGAGGCAAGGCAACAGCGTTAACCACTACACCACTGTGCAGCCCGCATTATAATCCCATGATAATATTTTCAGAGATCTGTATCTAAAAACCAATCAACACAAAATAAACATGAAATCAATATATATTTTACCTGAAAATTAGATATTTTAGACCGTTTTATTGAACTTTTAAAACTTGTTTTATTGAGTACCTCTTCATGGTGGAGTAGTGTTCGTCTTTCATTAACATTCTCAATATTTAGCTGCAGCCACGAAGGCCCAAGGTTTGACCTTGAGCCACAAGTCTCGTTCTGTCAGCTCAAATCAAAGACCACTTCAAATGATGTGTCAGATCCTTGAGAATCCTTGTCCTGTCCTGCTTGCAGCACTGATAAAAAATTTAATAAACATCAGCCTCCCAACCTGAGACAAACCTCCAAACGTTGACCATGTGGAATAAAAGGTTTAAAGCGGAAAGTTCTTTTGGAGTTGAGAAACAAACTCAAAAGGATGTATAATGCTCATCAAGGTCGATTTAAGGTGACAGGCTCACGTGTTGAGCTGAAAGTCAACTTAAAGTTGTGGTTATTGAATACTTATGGAAAGCTGTCATCCATACGGTAGCTGATAAAGAGTTTTTAAAATTAGAGGCTTCAGATAAGTAACCACACACGGCCATTTTGTACTCCTTAATGAGTCAAAGGCGTATTGATAATATAGGATAATTACTTTTACTTTGACTGTTTTCACATCATCCTGCTCAGCATTGATTCTCAAATTTCATGGTGCGATGAATTCATCAAGCGTGGCTCAGCCTCTTCCATTTCTTAACCCTCTTTCCTTCCTCTACCTGATTTTTCTTTCTCCCTTTTAGCTGGCATTTTGGGACTCTACTCGTGGATTAAACGGTAGCCTGAAGGAGAATCGAATTGAAAGCGGTATGCAGGGAGTGACGCTCAAGATTGTAACGTTACTGGTAAGTCATGGGAGAGCATTGAATCCAATAACACTTTGACCTGAGTATGCAATTATCCTGGTGAATAAAACCAAACAAACACTACTGAAGCAAACATATCAGGTTAGACTTGTCGCCCACAGATTAAAACTGTAGTTTCTTAGTAAAAGAAACGATCCGTGCTTTTATATGGTTTTAATTATCTGCTAAAATACACAAGTCATTTTTTTCACATTAATTTCTTCACATGAAAGGGATACTTAGGAAATTTTTCATATTTTTAAATCATCTCCTCAAGCCACTATGTGCTGAAATGACCCTTTACAAGGTTAACAAAAGGCCACCCAGCCCTTTTCACCCTGTGGCCAGAATATTCCACTTGCAACTTCAGACTGACTCTGTTGAGCTGAGACACCTTACGCTGCAGTCTGGTTTCAACACATTTCCTGCATGTTTTAAAACAAAAATTAAGCTGATTTGTTCAATTTAGTGATGAATCACTCCTGTAGCCTCTATGGAAGGCTGTGGAGACATTTCAGCTTTTAGATTAAGGTGTTAAAAAGACAAACGCACAGCGAGGAGATGCTTTCCGTTCTACAAACTGGCACCAGGGGGTGCTAAAAGCAAGCCAAAACTGCATAGTTTCCATTTAGAGTAAATCAGCATGTAGATATGAAACATTCTGTTTGTTTTCTGTCAAAATAGACAGGTCACTGAAAAAATGAATGTGAACATAAATTTGAACAATATGAAGAAACTCAACTGAATTTAGCGTGATAACAGTATGCAAAACCTTGGAGCAACAGTCTGATCAAACAGAGAAATTTAACAAGAAGCACTGTTCCATGAAAGTAGTGGCCATTCAGTTATTTTCAGTCGTTCCCGATAAAAGGGGAATAGTGAAACTCAAAGTAGTTCTCCTATTTAAACATTCAGTTTGAAAATCATCCGCACTGAAAGAGGAGGTACATTAAAATCGTTTCACTTTGTTCTGCTTCTATTTTAGGACGATTACTGTGCAAAAGGACAGAAAGCATCACATTTTAGTTTCCAAATAACAAACTGTTGCTGTTTTCTTCCTAAAATGAAATAAACTTTCTTTAAAACCTCTAAAGGCAGGCCTACATTGCTGTGGCAGAAGGCTCTTCTATTGTCCTCAGCTTCAATCACTTCCCCTCCCCTCCATTTTCCCTCTTCTTTACAGATGATTTATCTTCACCATATTTATTCACATAAGTTCTGCTCAGCTGTATTCTGGCAGTGTCAATCAATTAATTTACCCCTGCCCGCTTTAACTCCTCCCTCCTCCTCCGTGTCCCCCTGCCCCATCTTCCCCAGCTTCCTTTACTCCACCTCCACCTATTAAAGTCTGCCCTGACACTTTCAACTCATAAAGAGGAACTATGGGTGTGAGCAATAAATTTAAAATGGCAATTTTCACATTGACGAACCATTGCAGTTGCCATGGCGCCACATGTTATGGGTCAACAGTTGCTGAAGACACTTTTTTATTAAGATGGAGTTCAATGTAGATTACACTGGAGCTTCCCATAAAGGTGTCTTAAGATGAATGAATGCGTCCTCGCTTCGGCTGTCAATCTGGTAATGAGAATATTTAGGTGAATCTTGATGGATGACACGTCTGTGATTGAATACAGGCTCTAAAGTTTGTCTTAATCTTTGGTTTTGTGATAAAACTCTAATTTATTTTCATTTTTTATGTGAGAGTGGAACATTATCTGCAACCTTTACAAAAACATCTCCAATTTTAATTCAAATAGGAAGAACCTTTTGTGATGGTGGCAGAGAATATTCTGGGTCAACCCAAAAGATACAAAGGTTTTTCAATCGACGTCCTGGATGCCCTCGCCAAGATCCTCGGGTTCAAGTATGACATCTACCAAATTGGTGATGGGAAGTATGGATCAGCACTCCCTAATGGATCCTGGAATGGCATGATAGGAGAATTAATTGCCAAGGTTGGTCCTTATTCTTCATTATGCTTGATTTCTTGTTTCTTCTGTGTTTCACCTTCTTTTATAAACTTTGCGTCCAGCGAGCAGACCTGGCCGTGTCAGCCATCACCATCACACCTGAGCGCGAGAGTGTGGTTGACTTCAGCAAGCGCTACTTGGATTACTCAGTGGGAATTCTGATGCACAAATCTGAGGAAAAGATCAACATTTTTTCCTTACTGGCTCCGTTTGACCTGGCGGTGTGGGCATGCATTGCTGCAGCCATCCCCGTGGTGGGAATCATGATTTTTCTGCTCAGACGCATTCAGGCCGTGCGGTGTCACAACAGCACGGGCCACCCTCCTCCTTCAGCCTCCACTTCCCTTCAGAGCGCCATCTGGATCGTCTATGGCGCTTTCGTGCAACAAGGTGAGTGGCAGACATTTACAAATTATGCATGCGCGATGTGATGCTGGGGGGGGGGTTCTGTCTAAAAGACATTCATAACGAAGAAACAAGCATGTTTTCATAAATATAAAATCATTAGATGCAGATTAGAAAGTAAAGCAAAAACAGATGGTTACTTTAGGAAACTAAAATAAAACAGCATAAATTTTAAGAAGCAATATGTAAGAATTCTACAGTTAAATGATCACAAAACAGTCTAATGTCTCAATCATGTTGGAAGGAAAGTTGCATTGAAAGACATTTCATGCTCAGCATGCTGGGGTGTTAACAGTTTATCTCCTTTAAAAATAAAAAATAAAGAGGAAAGTAGTTTCTCTTTACAAGTGAGTTTGTAATTCAACACCAGCAGGCAAAAAGATCCAGAGCTGTTTGAAGAACTGAAGCCAGTAAACAGGAGTGACCCAGATGTTCTTTTTTGTACCCCCTAAGAAGCCATCATTCTTTTACTGTAAAATCTGGTGAAGCAGGCTAGAAGCTAATGTTGAGCTAACAATGCTAACTGTTTGAAGAACTGAAGCCAGTAAACAGGAGTGACCCAGATGTTCTTTTTTGTACCCCCTAAGAAGCCATCATTCTTTTACTGTAAAATCTGGTGAAGCAGGCTAGAAGCTAATGTTGAGCTAACAATGCTAACAGTGAATTTAAAGCAAATATGCAGCTCTAAAAATATCTCAAGCTAGTTTTTAAAATTACCAACCACTTGATATTACAGTGAATTGTTGTGTGAAGTCAATATGGAGTTTGTCGTGGCATTTACTTCCTTTAATCTGTTGTTTAGAATTATAACAGCAAGCTAACAGAGAGACTGCAAACAAGCATACTTCCCCTAATGCTGAAAACGTATTACCGTAATAACTGTAGTAAATGTGCCATATCGTAAAACACTCACGAGTGCTAACCATCGACATAAAAAAAATATGGACAAAGCCCGCCCATTGCTCCACTGGAGGGCAAGTTGAATCCAAAAATAGGATGTTCCCACCTCTGATTTTTTTCACTGAGTCACACCCAGTCAATCCAAAAATGGCAAAAGAGGTGGAGTTGAGGGTGGGGTTGTTACATTTGAAACGGGGTTGGAACAAATTAAATCAATCTAGCTACTTGCTAACTTAGCTAACCCAAGAAGCTAAGAAAGGCTCCAGGGACCATGGGGTAGCCTGCTCTCCCTACTGAATGGCTCCCCTGCGAGGCTGTAGTCATGCTGGTTGCCTGTGGAGATCTAAAATGGACTGGAACTGTTAGATTACAAACAGAGCCAGACTACTGTGACAGGGAGCCCTGGCCTTCCAGATCAGCTCATTCTGCATGGACTAAGATCTGTGGGACATTAGCTACATGCTAACCCAGAGCCAATAGAATTTTTCTGGGCATTTTTAGCACAAAAAAAAACATAGTAGAGCAACGACGTTGGAGTCGTTTTACAGCGTTTTTCTTGCTGGCATTAGGTTAGCATGTAGATAATGTCTCACAGATCTACAACCTCAGAGAAGGAGCTGATCAGAAAGGCCAGGGCTCCCAGTCACATCATTTGGAATCGTGGTATGTCCAAGGAAGGTTCCGTCTTTCTCGCCTCTGATTATTATAGTGCTAAGTTCACATTTTCTTTACAAAACTCCCTAAAAAGCTTTGTGTCGGTGATGATGGCAGGAGAACGGTCTGCACTTGGCATGGTTTGCTGCTAAATGAAATAACCAATCGTAGTAGAGCCCTTCTAGCCAGTTATAGGCGCAAAAGACAGGATCTTCGTTGGACATACTACAATTCCAAATGACGCCTCCTGATCGCAGCAGTCTGGCTCAAAACGTTATATTTCAAACTATTTCAACCCATTGTAGACCAAGCAGTGTTATGGTAAATGCATAGATTTTTCCCCATTCTAGCAGCAAATTATTACTGAGAAAAATGTGGTTGAGCGAATCTAAAACTAAACAAAAAACTAAAAGAGCTGCAGTGTTTCTGTGATCTCCTTCAGAAATTCACAAGTGACCAGCATGATTACAGCCACACATGGGAGCTGGTGTTATGTCGATATGTGTTCCCCCATTGAGATCTGTTTCTTTTGCACCCAGCTGCAAATGGAGACGACCCATTCACAAAAAATAACCCTAACCCTTACCCTTACCAAGTGTTCACCAGCGGAAATATAATTTCACTGACTGATAAAAGAAGCAGAAACTGCTTGGATGTTCTGTTAATGCAGTCAATAACCACAGCTTGCCCTCTTTGTCCAAATAATTCCATGATTAACTCATTAACTGGCTGAATCTAAATGGCCAAACATCTATTAATGTGAGGCCGAAGCCCAGGCTGAGGCCTTTCTCCGGAGCTAGCTCTCTTTGCTTCATATCCAGAACCGAATTATGGGGGCTTGTGCATGACTCGTTTTAGCTTGTCATCTAGAACCTGGTGCCGATCCATAACTGGCAACAGCCATAAATCTTATGGAACAGGAATGAGAAAGTGACTTTTTGCTTTGAAAAATAGTCCACAGTAACCACATTTTAACACATGATGTCATTCTTACATGTTGCACCTTTAAATAGACAACTTATGAAACCATTCAGTGTGTCTGCTAACCAATGAACTAAAATATTATGACATTTAAAAACTGATATGGCAGAATATTATGTTGTCACAGTCAAACTAATTATTTACAAGCACACACACCCTGGCTGCTGCCGTCATGAGCACAAGACGCTCTAATTAAACAAACAATGTATGTTGATATCACCATGCAACAACTGCTGAATCAGGAGATGGTAACTTTCGTACCAAATGCCTTCTTTAGCATCTTTTATGGTGCCCTTCTCAAGGAGAACACCCAATCTGTAGTTCTGGTTGTGATCCAGGTAAGTCAGCTTGGAACAAATTCAGCAGTTGATGTTAAAGCCTGAACTGCATCTATCATAGTCTGGCACACTGCCTGGGAACCTTTTGTTAACCCAACACCCACTATGTTTCAACAGAAGCTCAATTTATGCCATTTCTCGTCCTTTCCCCTCCTCATATCTGGCTCGTGTTCAACTCTGCCACTTATTGTTTATTATTTTAAATTTTCTTGGAGATGGTGTAGGTCACTTTGATACAGATCACACAGTTTCCTATAGTGCGCCATTGTTAGTGCTCCAACTTGGCAGCCAAATACCTCAGTGAGTTTATAATGATATGCAAACCCTAGGCCGATTTTTGTTGTGCGTTCACTGCAAAAGAGGCTATCCATCCCAGACACACAGGCTTCATTGCTGCTTTTTTCAAACAGGAACTGTTCTTTTGTTCCAGGATGAGGTAATTCAGAGGTAGGGAATAATCTAAACCTTCCTAGGAATCAAATGGAATTTTTTTTTCATTATGATTAAAGGCTTTAATCAATTTGTTCCATAGATGAGAGAGAAAGCCACAGACGTCTGCTGCTGTGAGGTTAGATTGTGGACAAAATACAACACATTTCATATTCGATGACCTTAAAATAACAGTCAAAGCCATATGTAATAAAAATGACTGATGCTGGAGTGTTACACATCTGACAAGACCTTCAGTGTTTTTGATTTTTCTCCCCAAGCTTTCCTCAGGGTGCAGCTGTGCTGATCATGACACTTTCAGACAAATATGTTTTTATCACATTTCATATTCTTAAAATTTCAGATGTTATTTCTTCAGCTTTTCCCTTTGGTGTCAGAATGCATGCTGACATGTTTCTCATTCGTCTCATGATTCGTTTTGGTATTTTTGCAGACGAGTCGGTAAGATAAAAAAACATGTCATCATCCTTGTTTACCTCTCTAAAAACAATAAATGTGAGAAATTTGAAATACGTCTTTTTGCATCCTCAGAAAGATCAAACAAAAGATTTTATGTTAACACTTATGTTATCAAACCGAATCCTAATATGAGTATAACCATCTGTTCTGGTGTTAAACACAAACAAATAGATATGATCAACAGCAGAAAGTCTGCTTGTCTGAATAGACCGATGAGTCATAAATGTTCTGGAAAATCTAGAAAAAAATCAATACACAATATTAGTCAAAACTTTATTGTGTCTGCTCTTTCACTGTAAAAGATTAATCAAAGACAAAACAAAACAACCTACCAGAGATGGATGAGGGAGAAAATTCATGCAGTTCTGCAGCTTTACAGTTTTATTTCTGTTGTATTTCACAATTATGTTCAGACCTGTGTCCTCAGTGGGTGATTTTAGTGCTGCTATCTTCTCCAAATTAGATATCAGAAGTGTGTTACAGCGTGTGTGCAATTTTTCATCAGTCAATAGAAATGTAATCATCAAAATGTTGAATCTAAACCATTTCAAAATGATTTCTTTTGCAGTTTAATTTTTTTTAAACATCTTTATCTTGGTTTTTGTTTTATTCTTTTGTTGCATGAAGATTTTTTAACTACTGGTTAAAGGAAACTCGTACATCATTCCTAATCACCAAAGTTAAAATCTGGGTCTCGGCTTCTCCCCTTCCTGATTTCATGCTTCGCTACAGATTGTAAATGTGCTGATGTTCACGTCTGTGTGCACTTCTCCTTCTTCACAGGCAGCGACTCCATCCTGGGCTCGGTGGCTCTGCGTATCGTCATGGGCAGCTGGTGGCTTTTCACCCTCATCGTGTGCTCGTCCTACACAGCCAACCTGGCTGCCTACCTCACTGTGTCGCGCATGGACAACGCAGTTCGGTACAACAACACACTTTTTCACACACTGTGTTACAATCAATCGGATGGTAGTACAATCTGTCATGTCCATATGTACAGAGTCTGCACACTTTCATGTCTGCATCTCTTGAGGTATATCTAACCGTGCTGTTATTATTGACTGGAACACAGGTGTTTCTTTTAAAATGCCCACTGACTGGATCGATTTTTTGATATAGTATGTACATATTCTATTTTTCAGCTTTAACGGTCAAGATTACTGCAGCAGCAGCTCTGGTTGAAGATTAATCTTTACACATCTCTCATCTGCTCGACTCAATGCTGGGTTTCTTTAATTGTTGACCCGCTAGCCTAACAGCCAGCTCGCCCCCAGTATAAATGTTATTTGTTTGTGAATCCAATTTGGTGTGACGTCTCTCCCTAAACAATGAGCAGAAAGGCATTTGATTGCTTTGCTTCTGTCTTGTGGTGAACAAATAAGCACATGGGGACATGTTGTTAGCTGAGGTGAATGCTAAAAGACACAAAGTTCATCTATGAGGTGGATTTGTCTGTGTGTGGGAGGCATGTTGTGAATAGCAACTATTTTCTTATCTTTCTGTGGTACATTCAGTGTAGGTTAAGGAGATAAAATCTATGACAGAAAACTAAGAAGGAGATCATGGGTCCATTGGGGCCTCCTCTTTAACTACAACAAAACGTTTTTTTAGGTTTGAACGGAACTGGAAAATATTAAGCACAAACAAACAAACAAACAAAAAGCTTTAAAGATACTTTGATGTTGAGCGTTGGTTTTTCTTTTTAACTTTGTTGTGTTCAACCACTAGGGATGGGTAACTTATTTGGCACTTTTTTTTTCCCGTGTCCTGTCTGGCTGTGAAGAAAACAGAATTAATGTCTGAATGCTGGTGACAAGCCTTACAGATTAACTCTCAGGTGGAGCATCAAAGCTTCTGCTTTTAATGTCACGCCTGATACTTAAAACTATTGTTTTTTTTAATGCTTGTAATTACGACCAGACACGGAGACAGAGGTGAAAGAGAAAGGAAGAGACAAAAGGTGGGGGTGGGGGGTAGTCCCAAAAAAATAAGCAATCACTGATGAACAAGAGTCTACTTCTAGACCTGCAGAAAAGGGATACACATCAATACGACAGGAGCAAGCTATCACTGCGTCAACTTGATGAAGAAATATAAAATAAACATTGTTTTACTGAACAATCACACGATAACAAATCAAAGTGCATTTAGTAGCAACCACAGCCTTACGACATATGTTGAACGTGCCCAAGTCCATACTTATGAGAGCACCGTGTGAGCGTACCCGCACTTGTATATGTAAGGTTTCTCTATAGGAGCGTCCAATAGAGAGTGTGAGGGGCCACAGATCTGCCCCCAAAAGATGCGTAAGAGATGGAAGGAGCTCCAAGTCTCAGAGATCCAGGAGCTGCCCCAGAGCGCAGGGACCCCAGAGAGACTGCAACCAGAAAAGCCCCAGCCCCCCTCGAGAGGCGCAGAGGATTGTCCTGGGAGGCCACAACCAGCAGCCGGCAGAGTCCTGGGGGATATCAGCGGCAAGCCCACAGGCCCTCCCGCAGCCTCCCATCCACAAGCCGGCCAAGCCCGGAACCCAGCGACCCGGGACCCAGGGGCGACCAGCCCCACCGGGGACCCAACAGAGCCCAGGGACTAAGATCCCACCAGGCAGCCACCGAGATTGGTCAGGCAGACGACAAAAATCTTAAACCCCCTGACCCGGGAGCCGCGAACACTCAGGCAGACCAAGGCACCACACCAAGTGTGGCAAGGGGAAGAGAGGTGAAGGTGTATAGCAGCAAAAGAAGTCCCAGGAGAGGGGAGGAGTCAAAGGCCCCACCTGACATATATAGTTATACACAAACAGAGTCACACACTCACTCCCTCATGCTCACACATACACATACAACATAAGACTTACAAAAATGCACGCAAGACACCCACTCATGCTCCCCATACACACCCTATTCACTGTGGTTCTGGTACTGCTGCACAAAGGGTACAACCATCACCGGTTCCCAGAGTTCGACCCTTTCTGCTGGGGTGCTGATGAGCAGGCTTCCCCGCCCAACGCCGGGCAAAGCGAGCCACCACCCCAGACCCCAGCCAGATGGCCAGATCCCCCTCCTAGCCCCCAGCCCCGGGAATCCAAGCGACAACAGAGGTGTGCTAAGACCCCTAGTCTCCCTCCGCCTGCTCCAACACAGTGTTGGTTTGTGTTGACGAGGTGTATTCGTTCATGGCTGTGGTGATCGAGCAGTGCAGGCATTGTCTGGCCTATGCCAGCTGATGCCACCACACCACCCCTCTTCCCCCACAGCCCTCTGTGTCTAAGTGCAGTTTAAAATTGGAAGTGGGCACCGGCACTTGGGATGAGGCTGAAAGATCCCCTTGCCAAATGCCATTGAATGTGCTCACTCCCAAGGCCCTAAGTGTGTGTTTGCATGGAATGTCTTTGGTGGAAGGGTTTAATGTGCAAATAAAATTGGGTGGCAGGCTGCCACAGGAATGTGGAAATGGGGTCCATACCCACACCCCCTGATTTGTCCAGCCCCATGTTTGTGTGATGATGTGAGGGAGCAGGAGGAGAAAAATGTGTGGGGATAGGGAGGAATGGCTAGTTGGCCTAAGCCCTCCAGGGAGCCAGCTCCCCCACTGGCCCCAATAGGCACCTCCATTGCCAAAATGCCACCCAGGGCATGGAGACCCCAGCCCATCTTGCCAGGGCCCAAAGCAGCAGCATCGCAGAGCTCCACGGAGTCCGAGAGAACCAACACAGCCCCACCCCAGCAGAATATCTACTCTCATCCCTGCATTTGCACAGCTTCCAGAATATATAAGACATAGGACATCCAGGTAAGGTTGGGTCCTCCCCCCTCTGGACATCCCCCTCCCCTGTAATGGGACAGCAGAGGAGTCAAGGTCTACACGAGGCCCCAGAGCCTGGGCCAGGCACTGCTGCATGTTCCCGCCTTCTTCCCGGCAGCATACATGTCAGGACCCGACCACCAAGTGCCTTATTTGGCACTTTCTAAGGCACCGACCGAATTCCGTGGTATAGACCAAGGGCCGATTCACCTGATAGGAAACTCTGCCTTGTTTCAATACCATAGAGTTCAGTACCTGTCCTTCATTAATGAGAACTTGTGAGACAGTGATTTCCCAAGATAGACGGCAGCGCAAGAGCATTATGACATCAGTCGTTGCATTCCAGCTCTAAACAGAGCAAGTAGCATAGTAGAAAGAACACTAATGTTTGGTTCCACTTCACTAAATGCAATAGGTGACTGGGTGATGACGACATCATAGACAACGTTCTAAGTGAGTTTTCACTGTCCTAAACTGCTTAAACAGGCAAATAAACTGTTCAAGAAAATATTAGCTTGACGCTTGAGCTTCATTTGCTATCAGCTAATGGTGCATTTGAACTCAGAACTCGGAAATTCAGACTTCCAACAAGGCAGAGAGAAAGCTCTTTAAAGTTTGGTGTCACTTCACTAAATGCGATGGGTGACCGGGTGATGATGACAACAATCTAAGTGAGGCATCATCATCTTAATTTGCTCCGCCAGGTACATAAACTGTTTAAGATAATGTTAGCTTGATACTTTAGCTTCCGTTGCTATCAGCTAATGGTGTGTTCGCTTCCTCCTCGGAACTCAAAAATTGTTCAGAGTCGGAAAAATCAACTGATTGAGAATAAGTGGTAAAAGGAATGAAGATACTCCATAAATGTAGTTCACAGCAGCAATGTTTGCTTTAGTTTAATTTGCAGGTTTTAAAGCTACAAGAACCCACCCATCACATATTTTGTCCAGAGAGGAAAGGAGAAGTCCATGGATCTGGGTTTTAGGTAGTGAAACACCAAAATATTAAATACAAAAAATTTTATGGTATAGACATTTGTTTTGGTTTGTATTTGTAGTTTATAGTTCATGGTCACCTCATCATAGTTATTCCAGAGGGCAGCCATAGCACTCTGTTTTCCCACCATTGATTACCTTAAATGTGATGTAAAGTCATGATATTGGAGCAAGGCAAGAGATAACAATTCCAACCTTTAGTTTGGTAAAATATTTGAGAAGATATTCTCATTTACAAACATGACCTGGCCAACTAAGCAAACCTTTGTCATTACATCCTTTCACACACACACACACACACACACACACACACACACACACACACACACACACACGCACGCACGCACGCACGCACGCACGCACGCACGCACACACACACACACACACACACACACACAAGATCAGATGTGTCGAGGCTTGGAGTGTTTCACATCTAAAGCGGTCCTGGCAGACATGGGACTTTAGGGTCCTCTCTTCTCAGTTTGACCACTTACTGAATGATCCACTGCATTAAGTTGTTGACCCTAACAGATTAAGAAAAAGGCATGAAATGTTGGGTAAGACCAGTCAATATAGTCAGTCAATATAAAGCAAAAACTGCACATCTTACCCTATAAATGTCACCCATTTGACACAATGAAAGCATTAGCCATTAATGACCTGAAGAAGAACAGTTAAATTCTTTCCCCCCATCTTTCCTGCGTACCAAAAATCAATTTATAACCAGCAAAATTGGTGTTTCAAACACACTCATACTTTACCACAGCTCTGCCTCCTCAACTTTTGTCTGCTATTGGCTAAAATATTACTTTAGAATAGTTTATTATTGGAGCAGTTCAGGAGGCTTTTAAGCTGTACTATTAATTTGATAGGTTTTCTGCCAATGGGGGCGATTTTGCAGTATTTTTGAGAAAAGAAAGGTCATGTAGAATGAAATCTCCCTTTGAGGGTGGCAGCTGTTTCTGCTTCACCATCAACTAGAAAACTGATGGTACAGAACATTTACAAACAAGCTTGGAGGTGGTGTGCAGAACATTTTCAACGTCAAAGAGTCTGTGGTCTAGACAGAAATTATTAAGGCAATGTGTAGGGTGGTAAATGTGTGCTTTTCAGCTTAATATAT